TATTCTTCCTAGCTAATCTAGGTTGACAAAGTTGAAGTACAAATAGTTGATGTTTGTCATGCATAAAATGCCCCCCGATAATGATGAATCCTATTCCCATAAACCCAGTTCGTTTCAGTTCGTCCCAACCGTCCTTCATGCTTAACGAAACCCACAACTTAACTCCTTTCTCAGTTTTGCTTCCGTTCCCTTTGACCCAAGTAAAGAATATAGGGAAAAAAAAAAACCAAAAAAAAACCGGGCAATGATACATATAACGCTCATCCGCTTTTTTTTTCAAACACCATACTCCTACCCTCCCCCCTTATCTACTCTTACTAGAGGCAGCAGACACTCATGTAGTCGTAGCAATCACCTATGCCCAAAGAGAACAATCTCATTCTCATCCTCCTCTTCATCATTGTCATCTTCATCGCATAGATCATCATCAGAGTCCTTATCATCATCGGACGACTCTTCCTCCTCTTCCTCGTCAGCCTCCTCGCCTTCAGCACTCTCAGCCGACCGGCCCCAGAAATCAAGGATATCCTCCACCTCATCCTCATCAGCTTCCTCCAGACCTTCCGCGGTATCTCCAGTAGCTGCCGGTGGTGGGGCATTTTCAGCAATCCCAGCGACGGCAGTCGACGGTCTAGACTCGGGTTCCGGGGAAGGTGATACAGATCGTGCAAAGGCTCGTGGCATTAGAAACCTCGACAGACTCTGAAGTGGAGACGACGACAGAGGATGTTGGTCGTTATCAAACACGCCCAGGGACGGAGAGGAGTCTCGGGGTCTCCGCGGTGTAATTGCTCTTCCTCCTCTAGATGGCGACCATGATGACGGACTCGGTACAGATAGTGTTTCCGGTGGCGCCAGTGCGCTGCCAGTCGCTTCGGACACTGGGAGTCCGGCACTCGGTGGTGGCGTTGGTTGCTGGCCACCTGCAACAGGGACATGCGTTTGTTGCCCTGGCATATGTAGGAGCTGCAGCTGAACGGTATTGTACGAGTTACAAACGGTACACTTCAGACCCAGCCAGTGGTAGGCCGTCTGACTCTTGGCGCTGCAGTCGTTACAAGAAATGACGGCCCTCGCGTCGCGGTACTCGACCGGCATCGGCTGCGTCAGGATCGCCACATCATAATTCCGGAACTGATACTCCATATTCACGCAGCTCTTGCTGCAGAGCGGACATTTATACGACGACTTCATGTGCTCGTTGAAGCAGTGCCTGTGTATGCTGTGGCCGCACTGCATGAAGACGACGGGCTTCGGCGAGTTGAACATGTAATCGCCGCAGATGGGGCAGTCGCAGTCCGTCGACCGCTCGATGCACTTGTGCGGGCCGGTCATGGATATACATGCCATGCATTTCTTCAAGCACGTTAGCCTCCGTTGTCTCATCCACCAAAACAGATAAAGAGGGGATATATACCTTGCAATGGAAGAAATCCTTGCCCAGACCCTGACCAACCCTGCACAACCCGCAGTCGCTGCAGTGGTATATCGACTTGTTCGGATCGTCGTTCCAGAGCTTGCAGACTCCGCAAAAGTAATACGCTGCGGACTCGCCGCACCGGATGCATGTATCCGAAGCCCGCTGCGCAGCGCCGCAGAGCATACAAAGCATGTTTTTGGTGTCTTTCCGCGGCAGCACGTGGTCTTCGGCAGCATCGTGGCAGAACCGGCAGGTATACCATCGCTCGCAGGTTGCGCATTGCAGCTTGACGTTCCTCCGGTAGTGTTCGCACCCCAGAAACCGCTGTCCATTCTCGACGACCTCCATGTTCTCCATGCGTTCGCTGACGTCGTCGGGCGAGGCCTGTGGTGGGCAATACGTCGGCTTGAGATCCTCCTCGCTCAACGGCAGGTCCAGCGGTGCTGATGTCCCGTCACTCGAGGGGCTCCAGAACTTTAATGCCTGCAAGGGACCGCTCGGTTCTTGTGCGTGCTCTTCTGTCCTCATCATCTGGCTTGTGGGAGATTCCGGTCGCAGATCGAGCTTGCCTTGTGATGCTGCGAGCTGTGACTTCATGTACCCTTCTATCAGCATCTGGTGCATGAGCTGCGCCTTGAGGCCCTGCGAGATGTCCATCGACTGCACAGCAAGTATCCTCCTCCTCAACTGCCCCATGCCGTCGTCCTCTGGTAGTGTCGACTTTTTGGTGTCGTCCGCCCATAACGGTAAGACCGCTGCTGCGGTATCGGCCTCATTGGCTGGTGTCACAGTGGCATTTTGTGTCGGCAATGGTTGTGGTGGGTTTGGTATTGTCGTCGAGCGGTCGGGTGTGTTCCGCATCCTATCCAATATTTGTGTTGCCTGCATTTGCAATGTTGTGGTAGCTGTCGCGTGCTCTCGGGCATATTGCTCGTGTGCTATGGCACCAGTGGCTGTTCGATCGGGCAGTCGAAGATCTGTCCTCGCAATAGTTCTGTCTGGTATTGATATTATCCTGTCCTCCTCTTCGGTGCCCTCCAATATCGCATTCTCGGCGCTCGCACTGGCAGATCTTGTCCTTTGATGCTGTAAACCCGTCACATTGACGGGTGCGGGCTCTTCGGTGGCGAATCCTGATGAAAAGCGTCTAGCTTGTCGAAGGACGGGCTGAATGATGAAATTGGAGACCTCAGCAAGAGAGGGCATTGCAAGGAACGACCGGGCATCGGCTGCAGTCCACGTCGGGTTCGAGTCGTGACGTCTATATAGACTCTAGACTAGGAGTTAATGTGGGATGGGAATGAGGGGTGGTTTTGTAAGTAGAGTCACGGTCCAGTGGGCGGACTTGCTGCGAATGTGTCGTCAGTAACCCGCGGCCCCCGTGGCGCCGTCTGTTCCGCGCTTTAGTGCACGTTAATTACCGATGTGCCCGGCCGAGTCCACCGCTAGCGTACGTAAACGATCTGGGGTGGGATAGGTGTAACGGCGCTTCAATGTCTTTTTCACGTGCTTCACTGCGCCGTCTTGATAATGGGACGGCAGATCCTATGCGTTCCAGCCTAACGGGACGAGAGTGCAACCTAAAGTTTGGATGAAAGTACATGCTGCTCACGAGTTTGTTCGGCTGGAGTTTCACTTGTTTAAGTGCAAAAGTGAAGTAACACATAGGTACTGTATTTCTCTTACAGACTGATGGTGTATGTTGTGGCTTGTTCTGTTCCCCCCTTCAACAACCTCCAGCACAAGCAAGAGACAGCTAACCATGGATTCACATTTATCGGATACTAGCCATGTGATTGCTGGACTGCGTGTTGGTCTTTCGAAGTGATTAGTTGGTGACGACAACCATGCTTTGCCCTATGCGAGGTTCCTTGCTCGACAACGCTTATCACAATGGTAGGCACTGCAGTATAGCATCGTCAACATCAGCAGCAAGGTTAAACAATATTGAAGCTGTTCATTACTCCTCCCGACTAATGTCATGCTCATGCCCTCAACCAAGAACAAACCCCCAACACAAAGACACAAACAAGTATATCCGATTTGAGCGTGCTAAACATCTGCCCATACCTGAGTCCCATCTCGATATACCCCCTGAACGGCTGGGGTAGAAAGCTGCTCAGACTCCAAAGCATTCCTCTCGGGGGTGCCCTCGTGCGATCCACAAAGAACCTTGTCGTAAGCAGCAGTGCCTCGGCAGTAACAAAGGCCCAGAAAAAGTGTGTTCTTGCTTCCTCTCCCACACCCGCAACGCCCTTGATATCAGCCCCAACCTTGCTCTTCGCCGCCGTGCTCTGCAGCTCCCGCTCTGTCTTCGTCCCACTCCAGTTGGTCCATAGCGCGATATACAACCCCAGACCCAGGGCAACCGCCGTATGCAGCAATCTCCAGAAACTCGCATATCTGTCCGGCACCGCCGCCTGTTGTTGCTGTCCAGGGGCACCCGGCATTCCAGGCATCCCTCCCATACCAGGCATACCCGCAAACGGATTCCCGCCCGGCATACCACCACCGTTGGCACCGCCACCGAGCATCTGCATCATCATCTTCATCATCGGATCCTCCTGGCCATCCATCCCACCACCCCCCATACCCATACCCATACCTCCCATCATTCCAGGCATACCCATTCCCGACGACCCCGGAGTCGACGTCCCACTGTTGGAGGGGTCCAGTCCCAGCATCAACTGTCTAAGCTGCGCCTCGGACATATCCATCGGGTTCGGAGGTGTCGGCTGCTGTGCTCTCGGTGGTGGTATACGGTTCGCGGTCTGGGGTTGGTAGTAGTGCTGAGAAATATCCTCCTCCTCCGGGTCCGCATGATCACCACCATCACCACCCTTCTGTTCTCCTTTCTGTTGTGCTGCTGCAGCTGTAGCGGCACCCGCAACGTTCGACGACGTCGTTGTTGTTGGTGGTACATCTAACAACCCATTTTCAACCCGTTAGCACACCATCACCCCCAACCAACCCCCTTATTTACATCTGCGATTCTAAAATAAATAAAAAAGTTGTATCCTTACCCCTAGGTAGACCACCTCCAAGTCCAGTAATCTTATTCAGCCTGCTCGCGCCGGCAGCTTTGATCTTGGCCTCCCTGCGCTCTTTCCGCGCGCGGGCCGCAGCTGCTGTCGCGTCGTCTGCTGAATCCATTTCTCTATTCTCCGAGACCTCCTCTTCTTGAATTATCGCTGTTGTTTCTTTATATCGCTATTGTCAGATCCAACAATTTGCGTGTCTGACGGTCAGCTAGGAGAAGGAGGAGGTATGTAAGGTAAGGTGTGGGAGAGTCGAGAGAGAGGGAACAGATTGCGTGAGCTGGAATTAGAACGGCGTGACGTCGTTGGCTAGAACCTTTTACTACTAGTTCGCAGCTTTGCGCACAGTCCTTACGTTTTTTCCTGAGCTGGCACAACACACTGACTGACACGCCACAACTTGACAAGTTGTTGCTGTTCAATACGTAAGTAAAAAAGTTTATCTTATCGGATCCACAAAAACACCTGCAGCTAGCTGCATGTATGTACAACACACTCCGTGCTTAAAGTAATTGGTTAAGCAACCCATTTCAACATGTAAAGACATCTTGGCCGAGTGGTTAAGGCGACAGACTTGAATTATTATCCCCTTGCGGATTTTACGGTTCTGATATCTGTTGGGTTCGCCCGCGTAGGTTCAAATCCTGCAGATGTCGAAAAGCATATGCGTTTTTTTGTTTTTTGGCATCTTTTGCACACCTCATTTTTATGGGCATGGCCTACCTAACCTTACCGTTTGCACCTTTTTCACACAAGGTAGATAGATACGCTTATTGTGCAAGACGCAACGATCTCCTAGAACAGGTTTGGACGACCACTCGGGACTTATTGGCTTAGGCTTACATTGCAACATCGGCCCACCTCAGTGCAAACCTGTTCACCTGACGTTTTTCAGAACTAGCTGAACAACAATAAACCTCTTATATTTATTTCTACCCACTAACATCTCGCCTCATCAAATGCCTGCATTCCTATCGTGACATGTATCCGCTTTAGACTTTGCCTTCGGTCACTCTCACTACCTAAGGGGTGGCTTTGCTCATGACAATCAAACGCTTCACACCGACCTATCGAACGAGTTAGTATAGAGCACTAGATTACTGTGTAATAAGACGTAGACTTACCATCCATTGCCCACATTCTTCCGTCTTGTCGCGCTGAATCTCCACCTGCAGGCGCGTCGCCACGTCGTAGTTCCTGGCCGCTAGCGCTCCAGCGAGCTGCGACAGCTGGTCAATCGTGTCAGGCTTGATAAGCTCCTCGTTGTTCAGGTGATCGAACAAAAGCCCTAGCCGCTTCTGCGTGTCCTTGACCTGAGGGGCAAAGGACGCAGGCGCCTTGGTAGCCACCCGTTGCATGTCCTGGCTCAGAATATTCACCAACTCCTGTGCATTTGGCGGGATGTGAGACCGATCACCGGCAGGGTGTCGGGGCTTTGAGGCAGCAGCAGGAGGAGGAGTGGCGCGTGGCGGCGGGCCTGCAGGAGCCCTAGCCGCCGGAGGAGGGCCTGAAGCTGGGGGCGGGCCTACGGGTGTTCGGGCAGGGGGTGGCGCGGCATATGGGTTAGGAGCCGATGCTCCGGCCTGGGAAGGAGCCGGGGCGTAGGAGTTAGAGGGCGGAGGAGCGAGCGGGGAAGATGCGGGTCCCTGGTTGAACTGCTGCGCAGCCGGTGCTGGAGCATAGCGACTAGAGGGAGGGGCTCCTGCGGGAGGCGGGTTGTAAGGAGATGCTGTCCGAGGAACAGTCTGCGGCATCATCGGGGGTGGTGCCATACCCGCCGGTGCAACTGGGGGAGGCGGAGCGTAAGGACTAGTCGCCGATGCCACAGAGGATGACCGGGCTTGCTGTTGACCGGCTTGAGGAGGTCCACCAAAGGGAGATGCCGTGTTGCGAGGGGGTGCAGATCCCTTTGGAGGGGGAGGTGGTGGCGTTGGCGCACTCCGCTGATAAGCACCTACTGGCGGAGGGGATGCTAGGCTGGGGCCACCAGGGAAGGGCGAGGTGATCGGCGCCACGCTCGGAGTGGTCTTCCGGGTAGGCGGCTTGGTAACAACCATGGGAACATCATTCCATTGGCCGACGTCCTTGTTAACCTTCGGAGGCGGAGCAGTGCTTCGGGGCGGAGGTCCATGCGCACTAGGTTGGTTGTAGCCCAAGGAGGGTGCTCCATAGCCGCCAATTGCAGGAGCCGGCGCGTAGCTCTGACCTTGGGGCGCGTAAGGAGAGGGTGCTGAAGGCTGATACTGAGCAGCTGCCGGAGGCGCATATGGGTTGGATGCTGGAGCTGGAGCCGCAGGCGCGTACGGGTTGGACACAGGAGCCGGGGCTGAAGGCTGGGTCGATGCCGCGTAAGGGTTCGGGGCAGGGACGCCAACAGAAGGTGCGCGCGGTTGATAGCCGACAAGAGGTGTCTGCGACCGAGATGATGTTCGGATAGCCGGGGCAGCTTGTTGCCGTGCAGCAGCAACCTGAGGAGCTGCTCTAGGAGCTGCCCTCTGAGTGGCAAGCTTAACCCGGTTCCTGGCGACTTCTGCGGCAGGATAACTTGTCGGGAGCAAATCGAGGTACTTCTGGGCAACAGCGAGCTGGCCGTGCGCAGCAACAATGTCTGCATACTCGGTGTACTTGTCGTACAGCGAAGCGAGCTTCCACTCAGAGGTCAGGTTCGTCTCGTTATCCGCGAAGCCAGTGACATGGCGGAAAACTGTGACCTTCTCGATGAACTGTTGCAGTGACCGGGCATGAACCGAAAAGGTGGAGTCGTCACTCGACTCTTGCATGCCGGCCTGCTCTGCCTCCTCGAGCTCGGCAATCCAGATGTTGACCACCTTCTCCAGCTTGGAGCCGACAAGATAACAGAACGAGGCATCCTTTCTAGCGCCTGATTCGTAAATGCGGTCGCCGAGAGCCTCGCAGAGGTCGGGGAACTCGGAAGGATCAGCAAATGTGCATAGAGTGACCATGGTCTCCTTCCAGTCGGTGAGATCCGCATTGTATGCAACATCCCACAGGTTTTTGGTGACAACCGAGCTAATCAGTCGCAAGTAGCTGGGGCCGCCATTTCTCCGCGACAGATACGAGGTTTGGACCTTGTCTAGCAGATCTTTACCGCCGCAGTTAGCAATGATAAAAGCATCGGCAATCCGGTCCTCTTTGATGCAGATGTCGACAGCCTTTTCAAAGTTGCCCAGCATGATTGCCTTCGTGATCTTGTCCTCGAGAGCGGTGTTGCCCTCGCTCAAGAGGTGGAAGGGATCATCCGTCTTCGCCCCCTTTGCGGGCGCAAGCTCAGACAGGAAATCGTCACCGTCGTCCCCATCGTTCCACATGCTTGTTATACGTCTGTGCTTCTTAGGCGCATCACCGTTAAGGTGTGATGGCGAAGAAACCTTAGCCTCTTTTGACTCGGAGGTCTCGGTTTCTTGAGCCTCATTTGTGGCATCTTCTTTTGAGAAGCCCAGGTACTCGACGATCTTTGTCCGCCCATCCGACTGGTTAAGTGTCTGCATAACCTGCCACTCAGCCTTCTCCTCTTCGGTCTTGGCGTTGGCCACATGTGTCTCGCAGATGCTGGCAATGTCTCCGCTCTTGATGGCCTCTTCAAATTTCTCCGTAGCAGAACCAAGGTCAGAGTCGACGGAGAATTGAGATATTTGGATCTTGGATGACCTGTGTTGACCAGCTGCTGTCTCGTCCTTCTTGAAGACAATGAGTTTTCCTCCGTAGCCGAAAGAGACACCCACGGGGCGCTCGAACCATGTCGGCGCTCTTGGGAGAGAAAACGACGGCCCTTGAATCTGGGTCGGAGCCTTGGAGAAGAAATCGTCGTCGTTCTCGTTGTTTTGCGGCGCCGGAGTGGCCGAAGGATTCGTATTCTGAAGCGTCTGGATGGTGATCTTTCCGTCGAAAGATGCCGTGGCAGACAAGTTCGGGTTGTGAGGGTTGAAGCGGGTCATGAATGTCCAGTTGGTGACCTCGGGGAACTCTCCGTACCGCTCGCCCGTTTGTGGGTTCCAGACCAAAGTGCGGTTGTCCTTTCCGCAAGAGACCAACAAACCGGGATCCTGCTGGCACCAGGATAGTGACAGCACTCCCTGATCGTGGCCCTGGAGGGTCTTTTCAGGGGCCTGCGAGTTGCGCAGGTTCCACATGAGTATGACGGGCGTGTTGTCATCGGAGGAGGCAGTCAGGAGCTTGGTCGAGTTGTTCGGGTCCCAGGCAATAGCACTAACTGGCTTCCGGTTGTTGTTCAATGTCAGCGAGGCCTTCTTCGTCTTGAGATCCCAGACCGTGACAAATCCTCCAGCGCCGCCAGTTGCCAGAATGTTGGCCACTTTCCTGTTCCAGGCCACGCAGTCGACATCGTCGGCGCGAGCGGCAGCCGTGCCAAGGCGGAAGGGGGACGAGACATCGTTGATGTCCCACACGAAAACCTCGCCTTTGGCGCCGGCGGTAACGAGGATCTGCGGTCTCAGAGGATTGAACTGCAGCGACTTGATCGGTCCCGAGTGCTTCGTAGTGCGCGATATGAGTGCGTCTTCTGCGCCGGCGATCAACTTGTCGGCGTCCCATAATTCGAGCGCCCCGTTTTCCATACCACCGGCGATAACTCCGCGCGGGTAATCGTCACTTGGAGCTCCCCAGGCAATATCGTAGAATCTATATGTATGCCATTGTTAGTGCTTGCTTTCCGCCAGGGCGCAAAGGACCCAGGGGCCATACCTAGATTCTGTGCTGATGCTCGTTATCGGGTGCAGCTCAAGGCCCTGCTCCTGGCTGTCCAGCTTAAGGTCCCATAGCTCCAGCTTGGACTCGTCCGAGAAGTCGGCATCGACTGCGCCTGATCGAGTGCCTGTGGCGACGAGCGGGTTTGCGCCGGGCGACCAAGCGAAGGCCGCAGCCCGTGGAATCTCCCTTAGCCGGACCATGTTGTCGGCGTCGTCTGTTTAAGGAGGTAATTGAAGGAGAGGACGGGACTCGGTAAGTGGAATTGTCCCCTAATCAGCCGGTTGATGCTGTAAATCGAACAAAAAAAATGCAATTGGGTCGGAAATACTCTCGAAACCCCAGGAGCCCTACGGCATAGGGGTCAGAAGCGTGGGGCAGACGATGTGGTGGGATCGTGTCAAGTCGAATGCGTCTGCATGTTGCCAGATTGCACAGAGATTCTTCGTGACGCACTACTGACATTTGAAGCCGCTGCGCCCGCAGGGGGATGGCAGCTTGGGCCACTGAACAATTGCTTGTTGTGCCACAGGATTGGCTGCAAGCTAACCCATTATGGAAATCACTGCCAACCCTAGTCTTGCCTGTTCTTCCTCACAGTTAGAAATGTCTATTTGGAGCCTTCAAGACACGTATCTTGTATCAAACGTGTATTGCTATGTCTAATCGACATCAGTATCCCTGTTCTAGGATATGTTGATTCAGCCAATTCACCATCTTGTGAGGTAAACAAGCGGAGCCTACCTCTTGCCGTGGGGTACTCGTAAGTGTGGGGAGTGAACAGCTTTGTTAAGTGCATGTGTTCTGCTCTAAAAGGCGTTAGTGGGCTGTAACCTCCATATCGATACTCATGGAATGCCGGCCATAGTTAAGAGAAAGATGAACTGTGAACAGAAATTCTGACGATGTAAATGAAGTATTAACTAGAAAT